CCCCCCTCCCCCCCCTATCGGCTGTGGACGTTACCGTCTCCGTCCATGTCCCCGACAGGGGGACATGGACCTGGCGCTGGAGAGCTACGACGTGTGCACCGAGCTGCTGCAGACCAAACCAAAATCCTCCGAGGGCACGCGCTACACCATCGTCCTGCCCAACCTGCGCCTGGACGCCGCCATCTCCGTGGAGGAGGTCGCCGCCGCCGCCGCCATTTTAAGATCCTGTCAAATCACGTTTTCATATTCACCATGTCCTTTCCGTCCGTCCTCCGACAGATCGAGAAGCGGCTCAAGTCCCTGGAGCGCTGCCAGTCCCTGGAGGAGATCCAGCGGCTCTTCGAGGCCGCCGACTTCGAGGCCGTGGTGCGGCTGCTGCAGCCCACCCTCGGTTACGGCGGCGGCGGCGGCAGGAGCAAACCGCTGGAGTTCGTGAGCTCGGCGCCCGAGCGGCCCGCGCAGCTGATGCTGCTGCAGGTACGCGGGGTAAAAAAAAAAAAAAAAAAAAAAACCCCCACCCACCCTGATTCGGTATCCGACGTGGTAGTAGGTTCCCCCCGAGAAACAACGGTGCGGTACACACACAGAGAGAGAGAGAGAGAGAGTGGAGTAGAACAACAGAAGAAGTAGGGGGCGGGGCTAATTTTTTTTTTTTTTTTTTTCCCCATCGGGGTTTTTTTCGGAAAAAAAAAAAAAAAAAATTAAGTGAGGTTTCTGTGTTTTTTTTTTTTTTTTTCTTTGTTTTTTCTTGTTGTTGTCACACTGCATGAAGGAAGGAAGGAGTCAGGAGTGGCAGAAGAGTATGTGAGGGTGGTGCAGGACAAGGATAAACACAGAGAGAGAGACAGAGAGAGACAGAGAGAGAGAGAGGTGCTACGGTACGCAGTCCGAGCGACAGACCGGGTTGCAGGTCAGCCACGTTGTCACGTCCGGTTTTTACGAAACAGGTCGATGAGTTTGCGAGTCTCCCGCGACTTCTCACGACCCCGTTCTCCGCTGTCCACGCTCAGGACTCGCTCCTGAAGAAGCGGGACTACCGGCAGTGCCTGGAGTGCAGCGAGGTGGCGCTGAACGAAGCCCTGCAGCAGCTGGGCGCCGCGGCGCGCGACGCCCCGCCCGGCAAGGACGAGTGGGCCGGCACCGTCGCCAAACTCCTGGACGGCATCGAGGACTGCTTCGCCGCCGACCCGGACCTCCTGAAAAAGGTCCCGCACTTCTCCAGCATGGCCCGTCTCGCCAACAACCTGATTCAGGTGAGGGACGGGGGGGTAAGGGGGCGG